TTTCTTGATCACTTCACGGTCACGGGAACCCTGTGGGTTTGTTACGCTGTGCCCCCCCCCACCGCCCATCCAGTGCTCACCCCCTAATCCCTCCAGAATCTCAGATCCTGGGGCTCAGAAGCAGCACAAAGAGGCTTACACAACGTAAAACGCAACCTCTCTGGAATGTAACTAGCTCTGAGGCCATGAGGGGTTCTCTGAAGGTCCAGCTTCAATCTGATTCCAGGAAAAGACAAGACTTACTGTAAATTTTGTGAACCAGGAACCATTTAACTTATCGTTTCCTTAAATCAGATACATGAACTTTATTGCTGTGAAGCAGCAGAAATCCTGTTTTATAAAAGCAAACTATGAACATGTTCACTAAATCTAACCATGAAATATCAGCAACTGTTTAAAACACGTGTGAGGATCTGTGTAATGTTTATCACTGTGGGTCATAGTTCAGTTCAATCTTTTGAATGATTTTCTTTAAACAATCCCCCAGAATGAAACTGGCTGTTTATCATTTAAAAAATGTTCACTTTCCCACAGAAAGCTGAAACTCCTTAATTTATCAAATTGCTGGGTATATCATGAAGGTCAATAGTTAATTCAACCGGATACGTGATTTCTTCATCAACTCATGTCTAATCAGGGCTCTTGCTCTGATAAATCAGCAACCAAAAAAAACCCAAAAAAAATGTCAAACTTGCACATTCAGCCTGAAGCTCAAACACAGGAATGCTGTTTGTTGGCTAAACAATCTCAGCAGGTTTGACTAACTCCACATCTGAGCTGTGCAACAAAGGAGAAAAAAAAAAGCAAAAAAGCAAAAAAAAAAAAAAAAAAAAAAAAAAAAGCAGAGGTGTTTTAAAATATGGAGTCATTTGTTGTCTGTAATGCTCACATGCTGGGAGGGAGTGAACATTACTGAAATAAAGTGAAGGTCAGAGAAATGCAATAACACCTTCATTTGATTCAAAGAGGCTTGGTAATCCAACCCAAGGCTGCTGGATGTAAGATGGTAAGTGTGGCATAGAAAGAGAAAGTATACAGGCTGGAACAGAAGATAGGAAAACTAGGAAGTGGAGAGGAGAGGAAAAAAGGATTTGAATACTCAAATTAAAGCACGTCCATGTTGTCTCTGGTAAATAATCACACACACAGCTGTTTCTGTCTTACAGTTATCCAATTAGACACACACATTAACCACGGAAGGGACAGGCTGGGAAATTTACCCACTCCTTTCAAAAGCCTTCGTAAGGTCACTGAAGAGGACACAGGCGGAGAAGCTTGGGTTTATTAAGTCAACATTAACGAGCAGCACACAACTGAAAGTACTCCGACACAAAGACAGACATGACTGCACGAGGGAGTGAATGGCCGGAAAAATAAGAGCAGAGTCAGGCAGGTCAGTGAGCTCATGAAAATTTCCCAGGCCTTTTTATTTCAGAGCTACATACGTTAGAAGTCTATTAAAGGGTAGGTGGGGTGAAATGAGGAAGTGCTCTGTAATGCTGCGACTGTGCTAGAATAAAAAAGGAGGGCGGGGGGCTGACTACTGGGATCTTTATCAAACCATAATACTGATTTGTTTCCACCCCAAACAGCACAACTCACACAGGAGGAGTAAAGAGAAAACAAATAGCAGCAGTTTTTTTGTTTTGTTTTGAGAAACACAAATAGAAAAGCCCCCACATATTTATTTTTTCCCTTTCCGCATCACAGACCGTCGTCAGTAGGAAATAAAATCTCTGCAGGTGGACGAACGACAGAATTACACAGCGACTCACCCAAAATATCAAGCTGATAAACAGGAGGAAGATCTTGGCGACTCCGCAGTCCATGGCGTCTCAGTGGATGGTGGAGGAGAGAAAGAAAAAGACCGAATGTCCAGCTTTTTATGTCGCTTTTTATGTACGCCGAGTTTCTCCAGCTGCCCGCCCGCTTTGGTCACAAGTTTCCGTTGTGTTCTGACTGTACCGACTGATCACCTGGTCACATGATGATGGGAGGAGAGCAAAGCTACACAGCAGATCCTGCAGCTCCCCCTCCCACTCCAACCCGTGCATCACGTCATACATCAGTCTCACACGAGGAAGCCCGAGACTCTATCAAGCTGCTTGATATCACACGCGTTTTATTTTGGTTAAAGGATTTTAACATAATTTTGCGTAGAAAGGATTCTACTTTTAAATGCCTTTGGCATTTAAAAATGTATTTTTATTCATTTCCCCCTTTAATTCAACATGCAGTTCAGTTAAGTTCCATTATAAAGCCAAAGATCTTATAAATTTGTAGAAAATAAAATTACCTATTTGCAGTTTGTGACAGCCAGTAGAAAAATAAAAATAAAAACAAATACACAAAGGATGGAACTTCCAATGCTCGAGGCAAAGAAGAGTGCACATAAGCAGCATGCTTTTCATATCACTGCATGAGGAAGGTGTGTTTAAGCATACATTTTTTTGAAGGTTATGTCTCAAATTTGCATATTGGTTTTAATCCCACCGATGTGCTCCAGTAATGTAATTTAATGTTGGCATCAATTATACAGTCATTGGTTGTGAAATACAGCACAAGATTCATTGTCCTTCATTGTCTAAGTATGTGAGATAATAGGGGGGGGTCACATTTCTTTTTTTTATTGTTATTAATAACAGAAAAAATATGTATTTTAGTCGTGTGAAGCATGCTTAAGTAGTGACTCTTTTTGCAGTAACTCTGAGGACAATAGGCAGCTATTCTTTCGGATTGAGTCAAAAGGTTATGTGGATGGGAGTTATAGAAAGAGAAAACCACAACACAGACAATTTGCAGCCACAAAAACAATTGTTTTATTCAGAGTAGTTCAGCAGAAGGCTTCGTTTGACCTTTATGCGCTCAGTTCTGTATCACTGCAAGAGATTAAAGCAACTGACACATTTAGATTAAAGCAATTGACACTCATTTAAATGAATGCGGGAGCGGCAGAAATATTCAGTTGCTCTTCCGACTGTGACGTGGGTTATAACTCTTAAACCACGGCTGCACGCTATTCAGAGGAACACGTAGAAGCCTCGGAGTAGGTCTCTTTGCCTATAGAAGTAAAGGTTTTGTATTGATAATGAGGCCAAGATGACCAACAACTGCAAAATCAGTCAAAGCTTTGTTGTTAAAGAGGATGAAAGTCCAGCATCTGCCAGGGAGTTTCTCCCACTCTGGGTCCAAATTCCAAGAGTTTATTGCAGCCTTATCAGACGTGCTGCAGTATACCTGCATCATCCTGCTCTGCATACAAGCCCACGATTAAAAGCTTCCACACGCGAGAAATGGAAACAAAAACTACACATCTGAGGCTTTCAGTGGGCACTTCAAGCTGGTCTCCCGTGACAACACTCTCACCACCTACAGGTCTCCATCAGAACTGCACTCCAGCCAAACAAAACTCCAGTGTTTGTGAGGAGGCGCTATCAGCGCACTACAGAAGGCACGGAAACGTTTGCCAATCTTTTCCCTCGCGCGCACGCACACACAAGTACATATCTTATCTCACATTAATAATAAGAAAACAAACAAAAGTAGCGCGAGAAACCACGAAGAAGAGAGAAACACATCCCTCTTTCACTGGAGACGTTTTTGATGGATTGCACTAAGACTGTAATATTAAAACATTCCCAGAAGTATGTCTGATAATTGCATTCATTTTAAAACTGATATAAAAATAATATAAAATTAATATAAAACAAAGACTCCAATGTTGGACTACACGATTTAGTTTTTTCTGGTTTATTTTCCCGCTGTTTGGCTCCACCTGTGGCAGATTTTATTGCGTGTTTTTGTAAACAAATATCACAACCCCCCTGTCCCCCACGGGTTTGTAACAATCCTGTAAAACCCAATAAAACCGATGGTTTATCATTAAAAGGTCAAACAGCTAAGCCGTGTAAAGCGCGTCAGGGTGCCTGAAGTTTGTTTTGGTTTCACAGATGCGCAAGTAAAGGATGGTTTTTGTACATTCATGTGTGCTGTGCTGTTTTACCAAAACCAACACAGGCTGAGGAAAACTGACCCGAGGACATTTAAGTGCAGTGTAATGAAACATGATTCATGTTTTTGCATTTATATGCGCAGAACTGTTATAATCTCATAAGTGAAGTTATTTTTGCACAATTTTTACGCAGCAGTTCCTCATAAAAGTTAATTGATGCCTAAATAAGAAATGATCTAAATTCAAATTAATTTAAATTTATATTTAAGTACAAGCACCCCACTGGAGTCATTCCACAAAGTGTCTCGTTAAAAAGAAAGCCCGGGAAATTAATCAGAAATTCGTTTCTTGGGCTGCCCCTCCTCACAGGCTGATAACTGCTCTGGCTTTGGTCCATCTCCACACAGGGAATACACAATGTATAGCCTTAATTTCACTTTCATGTTACATATATTCATATCAAACAAAATTTTCTGTTAATTATACTTTAACACATCATCCCCAACTCAAAGACCGCCCTTGCTTTGAGTTGTACAGTTGAATATTTATCGTTAGAAGTCTCTCTGTGGTTACCTCGAAATAGAATCGAGGGAGGTGTGTTTCTTGAGTCTTTTTTAGGTGAAAATATTTCACAATAACGGTGGAAATAAAACTAAATTTTGGGCTCGGTGTACTAGACACGTCGCTATGTTAGAGCTTATTTAATTGTAAAACTTTTTTCTTACTTATTTGGGAAATATAACATAGTCAAAATGTTAAAAGCACGATTCCCACATTGCATTCTTCGTTTGTCAGCTTCTAATCGCTCAACAGGTGCTAATATATTTGAACGCATGCTGAATAAAAACACACAGACAGACAGTTCACATTTCCCTGATTGCTGTGAAGTGACTTTTATATAGTTGTATGACAATTAACGTTGGAATTTTAAAGAATTATCCAGTTGAAGAAAACACAAATTTGATCAAGTGTCGGAGGAGGAGAAGAGGCGCACTGTGGCAGTGGGCCTGACTCTACACGGTTCTCATTGGGGTTTTATAAAGCCTCAACCAGCCAAGAGGGCAAGCAGAGATATCACTCTCTACTGATTCTGTCTGTGGCCCTCACTGACTTCATCTCGGTATCACAGCTGTTACAATGTCTTCTGCTGCGATTGCTTTGACTTCGCCAGCTCCGGCCAAATCTCCTAAAAAGAGAGCAAAGTCACCGAGGAAGAAAACTGGCCTGACTGTGTCAGACTTGATACTGAAGGCTCTGTCCACATCCACACAGCGTGGCGGTGTGTCTCTGGTAGCCCTGAAGAAGGCTCTGAAGGCCGGTGGATATGATGTGGTGAAAAACAATGCCAGGATTCTCATCGCCGTGAAGCGCTTGGTGACCAAAAAGTCTCTGGTCCAGACCAAGGGCAGCGGGGCTTCGGGCTCTTTCAAGCTCAACAAAAAGCCCCCCACACCTAGGAAGAGGAAGGTGGTGAGAAAGAAGAAGCCAAAGGCGAAAAAGGTCAAGCGGGCCAGCGTCAAGAAAACAGCAGCAGCAGCAGGAGCCACTCCTGCAGCCAAGAAGTCCCCCAAGAAAAGGAGAAAGTCAAAGAGCCCGAAGAAAGCCAAGAGACCCGCTGCGGCCAAGAAGCCCAAGAAGCCAAAGAGCCCAAAGAAGACCAAACGCAGAGTCTCCAAGACCAGGTCTGTTGCCAAGAAGTGAATGCTCTTCCACTGAACACTAAATGCCGGTCTTTGTGGACTCTATGCGGACTGAGCTGCATTCAAGTCAAGCTTTAAGTAGTTTTTTTTTTCTAAAGTAGAAAAAATGAACTCGCAGTTTGTACAAGCCTTTCTTTCCTGCTTCCTGTCATGATGTTCTAATGAACTGAATAGCACTTGCTTGAAATAAAATTATTTTCATTTACAGAGCGTACAGTGTGCTTTTATCTGAAAAAGAAATTCTCCAGCCTGATAAAATTTAATTGAAAAAACAAACAATATCGGGAAAAGAAAAAAATCGATGTTTTCTGAACGGCGGTTAACTTTTTTTGGTGCGTGACGCCTTAACAGCTGATTTGCCTGACTCACGGCTAAGTTTGGGAGGAGTGCGTATTACGCGCAATTACGCACAATTACGCACAGGGAGCTAGTTTCCCAGAGTTATATAGTTTTCAACTCTATGTAATCCGTTTCTTGGGAAGTGGTAGATTATCTTTTTTAGTCCCACAGTGTCAAACGATTTTATGGAAGATAGTAAGTAGTAAAACAAACAAACAAACAAACAAACAAACAAACAAACAAACAAACAAACAAACAAACAAACAAACAAACAAACAAACAAACAAACAAACAAACA